ACTGTGGAATGGTGTATGGATCTCTCTGAAATTATACTACAAGTTTCCATACCACAAAGGGATGGTTAGGATTTGCTTTGGGGAGTTATGGCTCAAACCGTTTAGGAATTAAGGCAAAAAAGGGGGAAAAACAAGGTTGTCCTGGTTAATGGACAAATACTTTAGTACAAAACATAATTTAAAGCAGTGTAAGGGAGATAAATCAAATACATCATTGAAATTATCTCCCTTACACTGCCTTTAAATTATGTATAAAGTAATGGTTAATGAACAATTAAGATAATTTAAAACAGTGTAAGGGAGGTAATCCAAATACAACATTTTGGTTACTTCCCTTACTCTGCTTTTAAATTATGTTTAAAGAAATGCATATTTATAAAGGAAGACCAGTAAAAATATCTGCAAATGTTGCATCTTTTTTTTTTACAAAAAAATCCATATGAAAGATTTGACACTATATTTTAAATTCTATTATAAAATAGATTGAGTTAGCACTATGGTAAATTTAAATGGATAATTATGGTTGCAAACTCCATTGAAAAATTTCAAGAAGTAATCTTTAATTGCACAGTATGGCGCATTAGATTTGTAAAATCTTTGACCACATTTATTTATTTGTTATGCCGAATCTAACCGTGTATTTAGATTTTTAATTTTGGGTCCAGTTTTCAAATTGGTCTACATTAAGGTCCAAAGGGTCCAAAATTAAACTTTGTTTGATTTTAACAAAAATTGAATATATGGGGTTCTTTGATATGCTGAATCTAAACATGTATTTAGATTTTTGATTTTTGGCCCAGTTTTCAAGTTGGTCCAAATTGGGGTCCAAAATTAAACTTTGTTTGATTTCAACAAAAATTGAATATATGGGGTTCTTTGATATGCTGAATCTAACCATGTATTTAGATTTTTTATTTGTGGACCCCGCTATCAAATTGGTTCATATTGAGGTCAAAAGGGTCCAAAATTAAACTTCGTTTGATTTCATCAAAAATTAAATTATTGGGGTTCTTTGATATGCCAAATCTAACCGTGTATTTAGATTTTTAATTTTGAGTCCTGTTTTTTAAATTGGTCTACATTAAGGTCCAAAGGGTCCAAAATTAAACTTAGTTTGATTTTAACAAAAATTGAATTTTTGGGGTTCTTTGATATGCTGAATCTAAACATGTGTTTAGATTTTTGATTATGGGCCCAGTTTTCAAGTTGGTCCAAGTTGGGGTCCAAAATTAAACTTTGTTTGATTTCAACAAAAATTGAATATATGGGGTTCTTTGATATGCTGAATCTAAACATGTATTTAGATTTTAGATTTTTGGCCCAGTTTTCAAGTTGGTCCAAATTGGGGTCCAAAATTAAACTTTGTTTGATTTCAACAAAAATTGAATATATGGGGTTCTTTGATATGCTGAATCTAACCATGTATTTAGATTTTTTATTTGTGGGCCCGCTATCAAATTGATTCATATTGAGATCAAAAGGGTCCAAAATTAAACTTTGTTTGATTTCATCAAAAATTGAATTATTGGGGTTCTTTGATATTCCAAATTTAACCGTGTATTTAGATTTTTAATTTTGGGTCCCGTTTTTTAAATTGGTCTACATTAAGGTCCAAAGGGTCCAAAATTAAACTTAGTTTGATTTTAACAAAAATTGAATTCTTGGGGTTCTTTGATATGCTGAATCTAAACATGTGTTTAGATTTTTGATTATGGGCCCAGTTTTCAAGTTTGTCCAAGTTGGGGTCCAAAATTAAACTTTGTTTGATTTCAACAAAAATTGAATATATGTGGTTCTTTGATATGCTGAATCTAACCATGTACTTTGATTTTGGACATTGGACCATAATAGGTAAATAAAAAAAAATCTATTTCTTAGACCACATTCTTTCTGTGTCAGAAACCTATGCTGTGTCAAATATTTAATCACAATCCAAATTCAGAGCTGTATCAAGCTTGAATGTTGTGTCCATACTTGCCCCAACTGTTCAGGGTTCGACCTCTGCGGTCGTATCAAGCTGTGCCCAGCGAAGCATTTTATTATTTTTTCTCTTCATGCTGAAATTAAAAAAAAAACAATTTTACTTACTGATGTTTTGTTACATTACGAAGTTTATCTCTGATTCATATACTGGTTACCTATGTAGATGACAAATTGGTGTCGTTCATAACAATGAAACAGAATCCACATGATATATGCGACGATGAAATTAATATTACACTTTTTGAAACCATTTTTATCAATTTTCAATTCGTAGATTTTAGCCACTCGTCTTGAACCTACCCATTTGTTCAGATAACACCCCATATAGCAATCAAATTATACTTTTATTGTCATTCATAACTCTTAACAGACCAATTAACAGACCGGGTTTTATACATCAACCCATTAACAGACCAAATTTTAATAAAAATTGATTTATGTCACCAAAATACAGTTTCTCGTGTAGATTTTTCACATAATGATATTAATATGGTTAACAAACATAATGCCTGTCTTTTTTCGATGTTCAAAAAATATTTCATGCAAGTAAATTCAGCCAACTTGTCATTTTTGTAGACATTTTGTGTGTGTAAAATGTGTATAAATTTGATGAGTAACCCACCTTATCATTTTATAGATCGTTTATCGAAGCTAGAAAAAAAATAATTACACCACTGGATTCAGTACTCCGAATTGTTTTGTGATAGATCATTGATATTTATTATGAAGTTGCATTACTATCAGTACATATCAGTTTGATGACTATTTTGAGGCCCTGCCCCCTTAGTCATGGTTCAGTGACTTTGAATTAATAAGCAATTTTTAATATTAAGTTTTCTGCTTAAGTTAGTTTGATAGGATCTACTTGAGATAGATCAATGATATTTTGTATGAAGTTGCATTCCTATCAGTACATATCAGTTTGACGACGATTTTGAGGCCCTGCCCCCTACGCCATCGTTCAGTGACTTTCAATAAATAAGCAATTTTCAATGATAAGTTTTCTGCTTAAGTTAGTTTGATATGAACTTCTTGGGATAGATCAATGATATTTTGTATAAAGTTGCATTACTATCAGTACATATCAGTTTGACAACTATTTCAAGGCCCTTCCCCCTAGGTCATGGTCCAGTGACTTTCAATCAATTAAAAATTTTTAATGTTAAGTTTTCTGATTAAGTTAGTTTGATAGGAACTACTTACATTAGACAATATTTTCCATAAAGTTACATTGCTGTCTATACATCTCAGTTTGTCAACCATTTCGAGGCCCTACCAACCATGCCCACTAGTTGGTCCAGCGACTTTTAATTAATTAGCAATGTTGCTTTTATCAGATTGTCTTTTTCTGAATTTTATGCCAACAGGCAAGACATATCTCTGTGTCAACAGTTTATTGAAAAATTATTTTGTTTATTTTCTGTCACTCTCTTGGTTCCACCATTAATCTGTGGCTTTTTGAGAGTTTTTTGTAACATGTTTTATTGTAGTTTTGGGGAAAATAAAAACCTGTGAGAGTTATCTTTCTTTGTATATATGTCACCATTAAATATTATATTTCAATAGTGAATCTAACCTTATGATCCTGAAATAAACTGCAAAGCAGAGTAATTAGTTCAATCCATACTTGATCCATAATTATTGGTAATTAAAGTATAATTGGTCTAGACCTTTAGTTACTTTTTTTCAATATGATTATCGGTAACCAGTCACGATGGCAATTAAAGAAATATGAAGCTCGTAATTCATTCAGGATCGTTTACATATTTAAATGCACACCAATTAAAAACTTAAAAAATCTTTTTAGTGTTAAAATTGGTAATTTATGACCTGATTTTAATCTGATTGTCAAAAGACCTTGTGTATAATTGAAAAAAAGAATGAACTTGATTGTTGACCTTTTTCTTTAAGGTTGTCATGTTGCATAAACATTACATAATTCTATTTTATGATGAAATAAAAAAATTAAGTTAATAATTGCGTGTCATGTATTGTTGTCAGTTTCGTGTGGTATAACATACATGTCAATGTAGTTCATGATACAAAGTTTTATTGCATGCGATAAAAACGTTTTTCACTTTTAAAAGGACCAGAGAAATTTAAAGCTATTAAATTGGAACGTAACATGTGATTTTATGTGAATAGAAATTTTCAAATATCATTCAAATGTCTTAAGTAATTATGTCTGCCTCCTATCCATATGCAGACATTGGTCTTTGTTTTGTCTGTTTGTCAGTCACAAAAGTATCAACCAAAATCCATGTTTGATTTTGATTCTTTTTGTTTTTGTTCACTTCCTAGTTTTGTGTTGATTGGTTTTTACCTGCATCGCCCTCAGTTTTAGTTTGTAACCCGGATTTGTTTTTTTCTCAATCAATTTATGAATTTCGAACAGCAGTATACTACTGTTGCCTTTATTTAGTAACCGTGTGTCTGTCCTTCTGAAAGAAAACTTTCAAAGTTTTCTGAAAGATAACTATCTTCTATGTAAGGAAATGATTTAATATATGGTCTGTAGCTGTAATGAGTAAGAAATTTTTACAACTGCCATGTATCCACTTCCTGTTTGCTGATAGTTTGACACTAATTGTACAAGTAAAATATTCGTCAATCTTTTCTTGGCATCTATTGATATTTGGCCTGCATGCGAAGTTTAATGGACAGCTGGAATGAGGAAAATATATATTTCTGTAAAAAACAAATTTTAATTCCGTATATTATTGACTGGAACAAAAATAAAAGGGATGTCAGTTTAAAGATTCTTTGATTAGCCAAAAATTCAAGATCAGGATATATTTTACTAGTTTTAGAGATTTTACACTCTTTTCACCTGTTAAGCTCAACTTCATGGGGAAAATGATAGAATTTCTCAATCTTTATGAAGGGTGTACTGATTATTAAATTATCATGTCCCAAAGACTTTTGCATGTTTTTTTGAACCACACAGATGTCATTTTAAGTGAACTACTGTCTCCTCACCCAGTTCTTTTAACTGATTAAAATTTGGAATTTTACAGATATGAAGAAGCAGCATCCCTGTGTCGTAAACTTTTGATGATGGATCCTACAATGATAGATATTTGGCTATGTGTGGCAGAGTTATATTCTACATGTGGTGATCCAGTAGCTACTAGACAGGTCAGTATATATATATGTTTATGTATACCAGAGATTGATTGTGTTTATGATAATTTTGTGGCCACTTAAAAAGGGTCAACCACTCATTGATTTTGAAGTAGCTGGCTTTGAGTGGAAAAGATTATTGATTCAATAACCTCCATTATTAGACAAAATACCTTAAAATTGGTATTTTTATACCCACTCTAGAAGTATGGGCTATATTGCAATCATCTTGTCCAACCTTTCATCTGTCTGTCTGTTCTACAAATATTTTGTCACTCAATAATAGCCCAATTTCGAGTTCTTTTTTATGCCCCAACCGCAGCGGAGGGGAAATTAAGTGTTACAATTGTATGTCTGTCTGTATTTCCGTACGTCCCAAAATTGGTTTCTGTTCTCTTTCTTTAGTTTGCTTCAACCAAATGCTATGAAACTTGTACACAATGATTATTACCACAAAACACACATCAAGTTCGAATTTGGATTGTGTCACTTTTACCGTTCTTGAGTTATGTCCCTTTATAATGTTATATGGAAGTGGGGGCTTCATCTGTGTCCCATGGACACATTCTCCATATATTTAAGATTGATTTACGCCGATTGGGGATCAATTGGAGTAAATGATGTCATTGAACAATGGACTCTTGCTATGACATAAAAACAAAAGCATTGTTATATAGGAAATGTATGGGAAAATGAATGAATGTGAAAATTGTCAAAAAGGGTATAACAAGTTCGAAAAATACAGCTAAATTTTGGATAGTAAAGAAAATTAGTTCTAATATGAAATGTTATATAAAAAAAAATGGACTGATTTTAGCTGTATATTTATTTTGGATGTTTTAATTACAAAAATGTAGAATAATTGTGCATGAAAGTATTTAGAAAGTGAATTTATAATAGAATATTTATCACACTACATGTATTATAAAATTACAATCATGTTATCTTTGACAATACAATGTACTGAAAACATGATGTCACAAAATTTTAAAAATGTTTACAATAAATGGAGTTGAAAAAAAGTATTGTCATAGCTATTAAAATGTAACAGTTATGTTAAATGTAATTTTTATGGCTGTTATACGACACTTTTAAAAAAAATAAAAATTGGCTTGTTCACCTTTTAGGTTAAAGTATTGTAAAATTTGATCATTTCAAGATTTAACTACTGAAGTAAACAAGTCATATTTATTTATTGAAATTTTATTAAAAGAAAATTTAAAAAGTAAGTAAAGATGCATTTTTATGAGAAAGTCATTAACTCGTAATTGAATTTATTCCATATAAAGGTGATTTTTCATTGTGAAAAAAAATGAAAAATGATTATTTGATTGTTGTTTCTTTTGAAGTGTTATAACATGAAATGAATTCTCATATTTTCAAGATAAATGTTTACCATTTGAAATAGTAAACCATATGAGAAATTTCATGAGTAAAGTTTTTATTTGATGTTGTTCTTGAGAAAAAAGAGAGTGTTCAAAAAGTCATAAACCTTTGACCTTTAATTATGACATAAATTTTAGGTGTGCCTGTAGATATTCTTTCTATTGAGATGTTTCATAACCAAGATACAACTCCTGATGAGTAATTAGGTGGTTTTGACCTTTGTTTGTAGTTTTACTCCCACATGTAAATGTACCTGGAGGTTCATACAGGTCTTCATAGTTTGTGTAATAGTACCTTCCTTCCATATTATGCCAATACATAAAGTGCAAGCCTGTGAAGATTTTATCAGTTGTTTAAAACATGGAATAAATATTACATATTTATTATGTAGTATTATGTAAAAGACAGCTTTGAATAAATTTCATCGAATTTTTGTACCACCGTGGAAGAAGTCCTAAACCAGATTATTTTATGGTGATGTGGAGTAAAACTTCACAGAAAGATTGCACACATGTTGAAGTTGTGCTACTATGGAATTATATGAGGAATTTTCCCCCATTTTTCTGTACTTGGTAACCTAGCAATTTTTTTTCTTCAAAATTCGCAAAACATGGTACCAGTTTTATGTAATCAACTAGTCCTACATATTTTCAACCCAGATCCCTGAAACCTTGCAGATATATTGCACACATGTTGAAGTTGTGCACCAAAATTATTTGGCAATTGTTTGAAGACTTTTTTGCCATTTTTCCATACGGTGGAAATGAGTCATTTATTTAAGCAAAATTTTCAAAAGATAATAGCAACTTTTGTTTTTATATGACCGCAAAATTTTTGTGGTCGTATAATGTTATGTTATGTTGTCAGTGTGTCTCTATGAAATTGTACCACAACGTTCCATGCCACTAAAAGAAGGTTGGGATTGATTTTAGGGGTTATTGTCTTAACTGTTTAGGAATTAGGGGCCAAAAACAAGCATTTTTTAAATTGATTCACATTGAGGTCCAAAGTATCCAAAATTAACCTTTGTTTGATTTCAACAAAATTTGAATTCTTGGGATTCTTTAATATGCTGAATCTTACCATGTACTTAGATTTTGGATTTTTGGTCCCCAATATGCTGTTTCCTGTGACAGCGGCGTCAACATGTTTTTAGTTTGTGTTTAGGTCTAGTTCATGGTGAACCACTAGTGGTAGGTCAATGATATTTGGTATGCAGTTGTATTAGCATTGGCACATCTCATTACCATGGAGATTTTATGGCCCCGCCCCCTCATTCATGGTCTATTAACTTTGAAACTTTTGCTTAGTTTTCATGTATTAGTTTGTGATTAGGTCAGTTTAAGGGGAACCGTTTGTGATAGGTCAATGATAATTGGTATGCAGTTGTATAAGCATTAGCACATCTCATTTCCATGGAGAATATTTGATCCTTACCCCTCAGTCATGGTCTATTGACTTTGAAACTTTTGCTTAGTTTACATGTATTAGTTTGTGATTAGGTCAATTTAAGATGAACCATTAATGTTAAGTCAATGATATTCGGTATGCAAATGTATTGGCATTTGCAAGTTTCATTTCCATGGAGATTATATAACCCCACCCCCTAATTATGGTTCATTGACTTTGAAACTTTTACATAGTTTACAAGTTAATGTTTGTGTTTAGGTTTGATTAAAGGGAGCAACTTATGAAAAGTCAATGGTATTTGGTTTGCAGTTGTATTAGCATTGGCACATCTCATTTCCATGGAGATTGTTTAGCCCTGTACCTTCAGTCATGGTTCATTGACTTTGAATATTTGCATAACTTACATGTTAAAGTATTGCTATTTTAATTTCAACATTTGCATTATCAAAATAACAAATAGGCGAGACATATCTCTGTGTTAACAGTTTATTAAATTGATCTACATTGAGGTAAGAATCAAAGGGTCCAAAATTAAACTTTCTTCGATTTCAACAAAAATTCTTTGATATGCTAAATCTAGCCATGTATTTAGATTTTAACAGAAAACAGCTCAAGGCCACCAATGGGTCTTCAACACAAGCATAATCATCACTGGTTTTACTGATTGGTAAAACTTTTTTTTCCAGGTTTTTGCAGATGCCTTGGCAGCTAACAGATTCAGTGCTAAACTCAGTTATTATGCAGCTAGTTATGATATTCAACAGGTGGGTGTCCTTATAAGTATATTATCATAAACAATAATTTTATAGTGCAAAATTGACCATAGACATATTTCTGATGGGTGTTTCATCTTTTATTATTCTTCTTAAAAACATTTGTGCTGTTCAAAATAAATACATTACTAGTTATTTGAAATTATGGAAATTTATGATGATCATACAGTGGAAATGTAAACAGAATTTATGCTTGTTTTGCTGTTTTTGCATGTATATTTTATGTTAATGTACATTAAAAGGTGCAATTGATGGTTTTTATGAATCTTTTAGTTAATAAAGATGCATAACTTAAGATGGATTGTATAACTCTGTCACACCAAGGATTTACATGATGTTGGGTTGACAAATTATAATTATTTCAAGATTGTTCAGCAATTTTTAATGTTGTATTATTTTCAAATTTGACTGTTTTAAATGTGTAAAATAAATTTATTGACTTTAACTGTTGCATTTTCTCCTAAATTATTATTTATTAGATACATAAAAAAAACTTTAATGTTTGAATTGTTAAAAATTCTTCCTGAAAGGAAAAGTAATGTTTATTATTTGAGAAAAAAATCATACTTTCAAATTATGCATGCTGTTATCATTTTAAAAGGAAAATTTTGAAATATTTGTTAAATGAATGAATTTCAAATGAGTTTCTGACCTCTGTTTGGATGTTGAAGGATGTGCATTACACATACCTTTCTGGAATGCTAAACATCATCTGCATACACTTGTTACGAAATGAATGCAAATACAGTCGAAGAATCATTGAATAAAATTTATATTTCAATATCTATCATATTTGATTTTATCACGACATCCTATTGTGAATATTATATTAATCATGAGAAATAACTTTCATGGATTCCTTTGTTCACCAAAAATCCATGAATTTTAAAACATTACATAAGGTATATTTTTAACTGATTTGTAAAGTCTGAGACATCAAAATTTAAGAAAAATAAGCAAGATCAGAATTGGATGCTTGCTGCTTAGGAGAAAACAGTATCTTATAGAAAGAGGAGAGGGGGGGGGGGCAATCATTGTCAATTTGATGGCCCAAATTGAGTTTGCAAGCGATAAGAGAGCAACTTAACAAATATTTGTTACCATTAAATCAGAAATTGATGCCCACAGATCTTTCGATACAATACTATTATATCCATTCTAATGGAACTGGATTAAACACCACTAAATCATACTTTGTAAAGCAGTAATGCTTGCTCACACAATTTCAGACCATCAGTTGTGAAATTGATGCCCTGAAATTTGTGGTGTTATCCAATCAAAAATAATGTTGCATTGGAATCAGATTGTAGCTTTTCTTTGATATTTTTTAACCTCTCTGGCTTTTACCTAGGTAATCATTAAATCATTTCCGCCAAACCCATTTGCATATCTCAATAATTAAAAAAAGGTACATTTAAAATACATTTGTGACAATAGATATACTTTTATACAGTTTACAGCCATCGGACTCGAGTGGGTAGGTTCAAACAAAAGTTTTGGTTACCGGTACCTTGCTTGCTAGCTGAAGCATGAAGTTATTATTAGGTTAGGTATACTACCCTCCTGTTGGAGAAGTCTAGTCCTACAGACAGATAGATTGGATATCTGTCTGACTTGTCTACTCTCAAAGAAGGGTAGTACACCTTACCCAATAATGACTTCACGGTTCCACTAGCAAGCAAGCTAACCAGAGATTTTGTTTGAAACTACACATTCTAGTCTGATGGCTGTAACATGCATTTCTTCTCGTACATTTATTTATAAGAATCCAGACATATACTTTTTCTGTCAAAAACTAATTTTCAAATGCTTGTGTTTCAAAGACTAGCATGGTGATCTTTTTTTTTTCCAAAATGTTTTTATATTGTCTATTGTCTATTAAAAAAATGAATTTTAGCCGCTCACAGCTTTCATCCTTAATGTATTTTAATGGTATAATTTTTTTCTACAGGAGGATAACAACAAGGCTTTAGAAGCATTGGAGATGGGTGCCATCAATTACTTTGATGTAGATATTAATGATTCCAAGAGATCTGACCCCAACCTGTTGTATTGGTAAGTCCTGATGCCTATATGATAAAAAGTTTTGAATATGCATAACAAAAATCTCACTTCATTTTTTTTGAAAAATTAAAAAGCCCCGTCACATTATGTCCTGGCACAAGCAAGTAAAATTGTTTTACACTGCCACATTCTTTTTGTACCTGACCCAAGCTTGAGCCTGTAATCCAGTGGTAGTAAATTATTGCTGTTTGCCAAAATTGGAAAATGTGGAGCAAGGTATGAATTTGTGAGATCTGTTCAGTTTTCAAGTTGTTGTTTCTATAGACATGTCCATAGATATAAGAAGATGTGGTATGAGTGCCAATGAGACAACTCTCCACCCAAGTCACAATTTGTAAAAGTAAACCATTATAGGTCAAAGTACGGCCTTCAACACTGAGCCTTGGCTCACAACGAACAGCAAGCTATAAAGGGCCCCAAAAATTACTAGTGTAAAACCATTCAAACAGGAAAACCAATGGTCTAATCTATATAAAAAACAAGGAACGAGAAACACTTATCAACCACTGAACATCAGGTTCCTGACTTAGAACAGGTGTAAACAAATGCATCTGGTTTTAATAGGCGCCAACCTTCACCCGTACGGAAACAATATGTTGACCAATGAAGTTTGAATAGTTTCTATATATAATTCTTCCTATCCAGAATCCCACCTTATTCAATGTTCTGTTTTTTTTTCAATAGTGCTCTTCAGATAATGGAATTTGTAATAGACAATTCCTGCAAAGTTCCACTTAGAGTGACTTGTATTTGGTTGAAAACTTTTATTATTAAGTAACTATGTGGATGGACTAGTGTATAAGATTGGTCACATTTCTGATTGAGAAACACTTGTTTTCCAGTTTGTTCTAAATTAAACTGAGAAGTTTAAAAAATCCATGGTCTATCTCCAATAGAAATATAGGGATTAATTTCTAAAACGAAATTGATTGTCGTGAAGTGTTGTATTTCGAGAAAATGGGAGACTTTATTTTATTTAAGATGCTTTTGCCTATTAAAAAAATAGCTACTTAACTTTCTATATCTCGGTCAACTGTTTATGATATTGCGCTATTAAATTTCATATTCAATTTCCCATTATTGGGAAAAATTGGAAACACATCATTATAACACTCACACGAAAATATTCGTTTCTAGCTTGGTTTTCTTACAGAAATTTAGTTATTAATTTTGGTTTGTATGGTGGGGGCAGGTGGGCGGCTCTAGTTGTTTCCGAGCTATAACTTCTGAACCATTCAACTAATGCTATTCAAATTTAAATATTTTGCTACTGATGTCAAAACGGAGGTCAAGTTGGATATTGTCGATTTCACTTTTGATTTTTAGTAGTAATGGTCCTTGATTGATTAAAAAAAAACACTTCCTTGTTATTACTAAATAACCATTCAACCAATATGTTTCAACTTTAGATATGTTGTTACTAATGACCAAATGAAGTTCAAATTAATCAGAGTTCTCGAAATCTTTTTCCCTGTGGTAGTCGTTGAAGAAAACCTGCTGCTCCTCAATATTATCTCTATTGCAAAATACACAAATTTTGACGGTCCTTTGCAAAATTTTGGTTGTCAAAACCTTCGGACTACCACTTTTCGAGAACTTGATTTAATAGTGACAATTTTCATTGTTGCCGTTTATGTTTTATTGTCCTTGATTGAAAAAAAATGCCATTTTAAAGTCATTCTTGTGCAATTAGTTGAAAACTGTTCAACCAATCCTTATCAAATTTTAATATGTTGCTCATAATGATAAAATTGAGGTCAAATTTGATATTGATGATTTTCACTTTTGCTGTTCAGGAGTTATGGCCCTTCATTGCTTTAACTATGACACAAATATAATAAATCCCTGTTTGCTGTCATGTTAAATGTCTCTTATTTATATATTTTTTGCTACCAAATTATTATAAAAATGCAAATAAATCCATGATTCTATGAAATATGGATTTCATACTCTACACTACACTATGAATTGATGTGAATTGAGCATTTGGTAAAAATCAACAATGGCTGCCTTGTCAGTGATACAGACTTCTGGGAGCCTCTTGTTGTTTGAATGATTCTACCTTTTCCCATCATTTATAATTACAATGATGAAGTATTTTACAGTTTACCTGTCTCCTTCCAAAATTAATTTATAGGATTTAACAAAATGATCAGAAAATATTTTATTATTAAATAATGCTATTGATATTTTTCTAAATTGAATATAAACATAAAATTTATCAGATATTAATTATGCTTCTTATTTAATCAGAATGATGGGAACAAGATTTTATGCTTTTTGTCAGTGAAGTGTGAATGAGAGTTTAAGATGAAATATTTTGATCACGTAATTGGTGTAATTATTATAAATTTTAGGATACTGTATCAAAGTAAACGAATAAATTATAGTTTGTGACATTGTTTGTACTTAAAAGTCTAGGTGTCAACTTTCATTTCTGTTCAATCATAGAAATGAAGTCTGCTAATTGCAAATTTCAAAGACAAGATATTTTTTATGCTTGAAATTTATTAAAATTTCAATTTTGGACAATTAGTAATGAATAAAAGTGAAATTAAAGTGGTCATAAATTCCTTTTAAAAGTCATTTGAAAATAACAAATATGTGATAATTCACACTTAATAACTTGATTACTTATGTAGCATTCAAATCTCCATTTTATTTTCTCAAAAATAAATTTAAATTTGAAGGTGTTTTATAGCAGTGACTAAATAGTAGTTTTTAAAGTATCCTGATGACTTTTTTAATTATAATTTATCACGATTATGAAGGAAATAAAATGACCTATAACCCTTATGTGATTAAGATTCCAAAAGATATATTTTTCATTAAATGGAGGATTTTCCAAGTTGGTTTGTTGTTTGCTAATTTTATCATAATTTTCAATTTATGTGAATTCTTGTCGTCGATCCAGGTGGTCTTTTAGAAAAACAAATAAAAAATTATTGATCCCATAAATAAATCTCAGGAAGAGAAAGTTTGTGTAATCTTTAATTATGAGACGGGTATTAATTTTAGTCAGACAGTTTGTTATAACATGTATCTAAAAATATTTTTTAAGTCGTAAATTTTGTTATGCTGAAAATGTAAATTATTTATTCTTATTGCACTTTGTATCGTACATAAATTAAGAAGGGAACTGTAAAAATGTTATCTGTTCTCAAAATGTCAGTATTAAAAAAACAGGAAAAAAAATTTTAAAAAATTTAAATGTCATAATTTTAATGTATGTCTTCACCATGTGATCCCCATGTTCATGATGTTACATTCTTGTGTATATGTTGTCAAAACAAAGTTTACTGAACTGAGAATAAAATTACATGATTATAAAAGTACGTTTTAGCGTATGTAATGTAATAAATGCTTTCTCCTTGCACTGAAATTATTTCCATGAAATTCAAGTTTGCATTCCTAACCCTTGGAAAAGTTTGGAACCGAAACATGGGAAAGTTTGGAGTGGAGAAGCATGAACTATTTTATTTGTTATTACAGGTGCTTAAAGGGAAATGAATAAAACTTTTTAAAAGGATTTAAATAAAAAAATTTTTTTTACTAAATAGCCCCCTCTACCCATCCCTGGCAGTTCCCATTTTTTTTAGAACAACTGGAGCAAGATTGCTAAAATGGTAAATATTTTGATCACCAAACTAATAGCAATATTTTTTATGTGGACATTATGTAAAATTTTAAAAGATTTGGTCAGGCTAATGATCCATTAGAAAAAAAATTATAGGTTAACAGGCACAGGATGTTTGTGCTTTTTTATCCATAACACAATAGGACATTTGCGCTCCATATATAATTCTTCCTATCCAGAATCCCACCTTATTCAATGTTCTGTTTTTTTTTCAATAGTGCTCTTCAGATAATGGAATTTGTAATAGACAATTCCTGCAAAGTTCCACTTAGAGTGACTTGTATTTGGTTGAAAACTTTTATTATTAAGTAACTATGTGGATGGACTAGTGTATAAGATTGGTCACATTTCTGATTGAGAAACACTTGTTTTCCAGTTTGTTCTAAATTAAACTGAGAGTTTATAGTTGCCTACCTGTAATTTTAATGAGTTGTAATCATTACCTAGATAAATTCAACTTATATTTGTGGTTAGTTAGTTCACATTGACACAGTCATAAACGTATGAGTTTAAAGTTATAGACTAGCAAAGGAAAGAAATGTTCCAGTATATGTCACGATGGATTTTATCCTTAAACAACACAATGTTAATTACATTAAAATAAGTAATATTGATGAACAGGGCCTCAGTCAAGAATTAAGAAAAATAAAAACTAGAATATTTAGAAATATATCAGGACAGATGACAAGAGCTTACTTTGTTTATTCTCTGAGCTTCAGATATCAAGCGAAAACTGATCTTTGATGACTATATGTGTCTTTATGTCTTTCAAATGTTTTTTTTTAGCTATATTTAACTATATAAATGTCTATGAAATGACTTTCAAACACTAATGTGCTATGAAATGACTATTAAACTTTTAATAATAATGAAAAAAATTACGACCTTAACTCTGCCAGGTTAAAACTATTGGTCCTAAGCCCGGATAAAATACGAGGGAAGTCATAAGAAGAAAATATTTTAAAAGCGCAAATGTCCTTTATAAAAAGCGCAAATACCCTTTTATGAAAATTGCAAATGTCCTATAAATTGTACCTAAAATATCGATTAAAAAAAGCGCAAATATCCTATGAAAAAGCGCAAACTTCTTGCGCCGAGGTTAACAGACAAGTGGACATATTCCCTTGACCAACTCTTTCCTTTCAAAAACTAAAAAAAGGACATGCGTTAGGTTCATTTCTGAAATTACAGGATGAAGTGCTACAATAAAAATGGTATTTTTTTTACTTGTGGTTAGTTCCCAGTATGCTATGGGATTGTACGAATATGAATAATCCTAGGGAAGTAATCTGTGAAGCTAATTAAAATACTTGTCAGACATCTCATTGTAAGGAATGTTGCATGGCTCAGGTCCAATTTGTCTCAAAATTTTACCTTCTCCATCATAAATAATACAAGAATTTCTCATTGCTTTTCAGTACTTTACTAGATGAGTCAGTGCCTCTACAGTATAAGCCTCCTGATTTCAAGGAAGGCATCATGCCTGAGTCTGTAGAGGAAGAGATCGTCTTTGTATGGATGAACTACAGGTAACTCTAAAATAAATGATTTGCTATCTTTATTGCAGTTGATTTGAAAATTTTGTGAATACCCCCCTTTTTTTTTGGGGGGGGGGGAGGGGGATGGGTTGACATGTCAGTTATTTTGCACTTAAATCACTCTAAATACATTTGAGTGGTAAATCAGTAAATAGTTACATAGGATGACATATATGTATTTAAAGAAAAGCATGATCTAACAATAGAAAGTGTGTATTATTTTGACAGGGTCATATAGAACACAGATTAGATTTGTTTATAGTATTATTTTGAACTCAGTTTGTAGAAAAACATACAAAACATATAAATGCATTTATAAACTTGTTAGAAGGAATGTATTTACACAAGTCCTTGTGTACCACCTGTATAATGTATTGTTACCTCAGGTGATTTGGCAGTTCTCTGCACATTCTTGTTATGACTTTGCCTAAAGTCACATGTCAAAATGCCGCAATTATCCAATTATTTTGCAAATTACAAAATTAACAAAATTAAGATTTGAAGATTTAGTCAAAATTGTTAAAACAAAATATGTTCTGTCCTCTTTACCTCTGCAATGTAAAAATTTGAAATTAAACAGTGCATGCCTACTTTATTTGACTATGTATTTGTCAACCTATTTAACTTTACTGGTCTATGAAAAAGAAGACACTGTTTTACCAGTAGTTAGATGTAGGAAGCTATGTGTTTGTAGGATACCAGTTTTCATGAATTTTGTGGTTACACAAATCCATGTACTGGAAGTAGTTAGTTTTATACTTTGCAAAATTCATCTTTTCCTTTTGCAAATAATACCACCATAAAATTAAAAATCCAAGAATTAAAAATTTGTTTACGGCTCTTAAAATTTTGAATTTACAATTTTCAAATTTCTAGATGAATAAAAAGAAATTTTGAAAAAAATCTTATTAATGAATCAGAATTTAATAAAAGAATTTATGATTCAATTTGATTTTTTTTTAGAGCGGTAATTAATAAAAATGTCCATACATGTTAGTGGTTTATGACCTTATTATTAATGTAAATTTAGAATTGGATAGAACAGAAATTATTTAAATATATAAATACGAGCATTGTAGTAAATTATGGATATGAAAATTAAAATTTCTATCATACTGGCCATTTTATATGATTATTTTACAGTTTGTTATTGGAACTACAAGGAGACAGTACACAAGCTGTAGAGATGTATGAGACAGCTCTCAGTAAACTGGAAAATGTTACAGATATTACAAAAGTTTGGACTAGGTAATGTTTTGTATTCATATCATTAATTGTGTAAGAGTTACCTCCCATTTGAAAAGCCTGACTAGAAATTTATACTGCATTATAAAGAGAAAGAGAAACAAAGAAAGTGCTGTCCTGCTTATAATCTTAATTTTGTGTTAAAAATGGGGGGTCAAAATATATTAGAAAAAAAAATGAAGAAAGAGAGAAAAAATAAAAATGAAAAAGAGAGTAACAAGATTACTGATGTTATTTGCTTGGTTTTTTATGTGTTTTAATTAAAGGTAATGACTTATGTCAGGAAATTTGACCTTTTGTATCTTTATATTGAGTTAAAAGAGAGTAACAAGATTACTGATGTTATTTGCTTGGTTTTTTATGTGTTTTAATTAAAGGTAATGACTTATGTCAGGAAATTTGACCTTTTGTATCTTTATATTGAGTTAAAAGTAATGACTATAGTTACAAATTATTTGTCATTTTGTCTAGAGGTTAAATATTTGGATGGTAGGATTGTAAGGTGATGGCTATTATCACTATTTGTAACCTTTTTTGTCCTTGGGTTAATAATATATGATGATGTTGAGGATTGGCCTGGTGTGAACTATTGGTTAATAACATGTTATTAAATATACTCCCTATTGACATGATACATACATATTTATAAAGTTTGTCATGACTGAAATTGTTGATTATGATTATGTGTATGTGACTTGTGAAAAAAATTTGGGGGTAAGAGGCAGGGCTTCCAAAAATTGTTTTTAGCCAGCCGAACATTTTATATATTATCCCGATTTTAATCCCTTAAGACTAAATAAACAAAAGGCAATTATGGTAATCAGTTGCCGAGTTGGCCATCCCAATGATTGACATTAAAAAAAAATAAAATATTAAACTTTCTTTGATTCAAATTCGAAGTTCTGACGTAAACTGTTAAATTGGCAGTGCATCATTCGAAGTGTGCAACATCAGCATACTTATATCTGCCTTAGACTCTTTATTTGTGCAAAATTGTCAAAAACTTTACTTTCGTTTTTAAATCTAATACCGGATGTTATCTTGACAATGGTAAAACATAGACCAGAGACGGATAAGTAAATTCTGTGTACGTTTGCAAAGCATGAATGAGTGTAAGTAGCTCTTTCTACGTTATTTCTTCAAGAAAATATTCGAAATAAACGTGAGATAAAGATATCAATGACAATTTAAGCATTTTTTGAAGAAATTAGGATGCATAATGTGTACTAGTTCAAACAACGTGGTTATGACGATTTTTCATTTTCACCTTTTTAATTTTTTCATCAAATCATATTAGTAAACGTATTTCTGATAATTTAAATATTTTTGACTAAATTAATAAGATGCAAACCGCTGAAATGTAAGAAAATAACTTTGAATAGACCGATCAATGTCTGGTTCAAAATAGTTTACCTGTCACCTGAACAGGTAAATTTCAGCTGTTCGACAACTAATTAGCCTTGATTAAAATGAGAAGGTATTAAAGTAGGGGTTGTTTTGATAGTACTTAATGATCATGTCACTTTTATGACCGGAAATGTGTGGCTGTTAAAGGCAAAAGGTTGGGTCAAAAAGATCACGAATTATGTTAAAATGACTGTCTCTTAAGAAAGCCTTGAAAACTAAAAAGTAGATGACCGTTTCATGCTTTGCCCAGCCGGACTTTTACCGGACATTATACAAATGTCCGGAATATATGACTGTTTTGGAAGCCTTGGTTAGAGGTCCTGACCAGACTGACTTTTTGTGTTTAATGTAATTGAAAAATTTTCTGGACATTTAATTTTTTTTAATTTTTGGCAATCCATAAATATAATTTTTTTAAAATAGATAATACCTGGGAAATAAAATTTGAAAATAAGCATCATTTTAAAATTACATGATAAAAATGATAAACTTTCAGGGTAAGAAAATTTGAAAGTTTATTTTGTTTTATTACACATAAAATGAGTCTTGTTTTTATACGACCGCAAAAATATATATTGGTATCACGTCGTCCTCGTCATCGTCCGAAGACATTTGGTTTCCGGACAATAACTTTAGTAAATGTAAATAGAAATCTTTAAAATTTAAACACAAGGTTAATAACCACAAAAGGAAGGTTGGGATTGATTTTAGGGGTTATAGTTCTAACAGTTTAGGAATTAGGGGCCAAAAAGGGGCCCAAATAAGCATTTTTCTAGTTTCCAGACAATAACTTGTGGAACGGTGTATGGATCTCTCTGAAATTATACCACAAGTTTCCATACCACACAGGGATGGTTAGGATTGGCTTTGGGGGGTTATGGCTCAAACCGTTTAGGAATTAAGGGCAAAAAAGGGGGAAAAACAAGGGTTTCCTGGTTAATGGACAATTTAAAAGCAGTGTAAGGGAGGTAATCCAAACCCATTTAAAGTACAATGTTGTGTATGTTTGGATTTACATTCCTTACACTTCTTTCAAATTATGTATAAAGAAATGTTGTGTTGTCTTGAGGTGATTAGCTGTCAATTTATTTTTAGAAGTTACTATTAAAGGAATATTAATTTTAGCCATAATTATGTATGTCATTTTCTATTTTAAGACTTTTATGATGTATTTAAATTGGTAATTATGGTTGCAAACTCCTTTGAATTTGAATAGAGATTAGGTCCATATCTTGAGGGAAAGAATTTTTTTGGGGGAAAAAGGGGGTGGGGGGCAATCTTTTCTCATTTCAGATTTCAGAAATTATAAAGAAAATTTCTTCAAATATTAGTTTTTTTTGGCAAAAAAAGGGGGTAAGGGGGGCCGGGGGGGGGGGGGGTCAATATGCAACAGCATAGTGTATTGCACAATAGCAAAAAAAAAAGGGGCGGATAAATTTTATTTTTTTGGGGGGGGGGGGGGTCAATTCGCAACAGCATAGTGCATATAACCAATTCTAAGTTCTTTGACTACAGTTATTCTGTGTCAGAAACCTATTATGTGTCAAATATTTAATTACAATCCAAATTCAGATCTGTATCAAGCGCGAATATTGTGTCCATTTTTGCCCCAACTGTTCAGGGTTGGACCTCTGCGGTCGTATCCAGCTGCGCTCAGCGAAGCATTTTATTCTCACAAATAAAGTTACTTTTTTCTGACAATGTATGTAAAAGTAATATGTATTTAATTCCAGCTATTTACAATTTCATGCAAGACAAGTTCTAGATAATAAGACCAATAAAGAAGCAGCCAAAACATTTACCAGCTTGGTCTACAGGGCTGTCACATCTATACCTACCAAGTTTGACTGTAGATTTGTGTGGGACAGTCATTGGTATAATTACAATCATGTCAACACAGTCTTAGATTTGTATCTGAACAGTCTTCCTAAAGAGTTACTGCTGACGGAATATGAGAAACTTATTACCATTATGCCTTCTAATGTACAACTCATTCTAAGGTAAAGTTGAAGTGAAATTATTCATTTAAGAAACTTAATATTTTTGGTAAATATTAAAGTTTAGGGGGAAATATTTCATTTTTATATAAATTTCATTGAATTGCCTACAGCTGTTAGTGATTAAATTTTTTTTTATTGTTGTGTAAAAGAAAATTGGAATTTTTTGCATGATGAAAAAATATCGGTATTGCAGAACAGAAGACCTGTAAATTCAGATATTAATGCCTGCATTTATTATAGCGAATCACTGATAAAAATGCTAAATTTAATTAATGGGATTGGAAAAAATTTGTTAAGGAAAATCACTACTGAAATATTTATGGAAAATGCTATCAAATATCATAGTTTAGAATTTAAAGTATGCTATAAAATCTAAAGTTAAGTGTCTCAAAATTCTGATAATCAATGAGATATTTTACTCAGTTCTAGAAGTTTTACTTTTTTTAATGGACTTTAATTTGATAAAAACTTCTTTAACTACCAACTTGCCTTTAACGATTTAATTCCACAATTCAAATGTTGGGATATGATGAAACAAATTTAATAGAGATGTAAATTCTAAGATTGCAGTTTCATGCGTAGTTAAATTATTTCCAAGGTTCCTTTGTACATGCTATACTTACAGGGCATGCCATGAAGCCATATCACAAGATGACCTTCAGCTAGCGAAGAGTTTCTGTAATGCTGCTATCTACGACAATACGGGCCACTTATCACTGTGGAAGATGTAAGTTAAAACAAGCCACAACTGTAATTCAGGTGAGCTAGTTAAATTAGGACAGTGTTGTATAAGTGGTAACAGTGTATGTTGTAACTGCTCTCCACTGTATTTTAATACTTTCAACAAAAATTGACTTAGGAATATATAGAAATTCCATTGTCTTTTTATTTGTTATTTTTTGTTTTCCCCCACTTTTCATCAATCTATAATTGCTTCTTTTTTAAGGCATTTCAGAAGTAACCAGCACTTATTTGAAATGTTTTTCAGCCTTCTTTATGAATTTTTCTGGAAAATGTCTAAAAATGTTTGATGGGTATAATATAAGCCATACAGTATACCTGTATCCTTCAAAAAAGTGTTTGAAGTGAAGAAAATTTGTTGGAGAATAGGGACTTCCTTCTTGTCCTTTGGAAACCTTAAAAGCTCTATTTTGACAGTTGGTTTTATATATTTTAGTGAAAATTTACCAAAGGATAGGTTGCTATGTAAACATGTGCATTGAAAGATAGTTTTTGTTAGACTAGATGTAGTGGAGTTATTTTCTAACCAGGGAGCATGGGGTATAAATTGGTTAAACTTTTCTAACAGTACCTTCAGGAATATCGGCTTCTAGTACATGTAATAGTTAGATGGGTGTAGCATTTATCATACTTATAAATGTGTTTGTTTATTTATCCTTGGATTTGAATTTGTTGTCAATCTTATTGTACATTTTAAGTGACAAACTTGTACGAGTTCTGTTGTAAATTTATCACCGTCCACAAATATTTTATGTACACCATTGAATATTGGTCCTTGTTCGTTCGACCTTTTCCTGCTTGTGTGTTTGTATGTTAATGTAAGAAAACTCCTTTCAAATGGTTAACTGACGAATGGAATTTTTTTTTGATTTCTTGAATGTTAATTAAATTAAAAATCATTAATAAATTATACAACATCATACATTTCAGGATGATATCGTTGACCGTCAAACTAGAGAATATCAGAGAGGTTAGTCTTAGAACAGAACTGTCGTAATTAGATTGATATAAATTTGATGAAATTATTGCTTTATGTTTAGTCTTACAAACAAAACAAATCGGTCGTAATTTTGATGATTTTTTTTCTTCCTGTTTTGATTTTATGTTGATTTCCAGTGTTCTGTTGAAGGTAGGTAGGCAACTTTATGATGTGTTAAATTTTATTGAGGGACTTTTGCATGAAAATATTTTTTTTATTGCATCCATAGCAGAAAATATATTGTGATTTTATAATGACTTACATCATGTATTTTTGGGAGTAAAATATTTGTTTTATTCAATAATGTTAGTTATTAGAATCAATGTAAAAAGGTTATTCTGGTTTTATTGTTGTGTCTGAAACAAAAGCTGCAGAAGCGAGACATACTGATTCTACTTTCCGTTGTCGACAATAACTTTGTCAAACCTTCATAGAATTTTAAGATACTTTAACAGAAGCTTCTTATGATCGAAAGGTAGTATCCAGAGCAAAATTTTGAAAATAATTTTTTCATTTTTAGAACTAAAATTTTGGGTTTTGTTTATGATTCATATGAAATGAAAGCAGGTGACCATCACATTTTACAAAAAGTGCAGATGGTTACTTGCTTTTAATTTGTGTAAATTTTCAAAAACACAGCATTTAATTCTTATAATTACAGATTTTCTAACTACAAAATACATTTTATTCACATTTTGAACCTAAAAGTAAAACTGTTAACACAAGACTTTGGCAGAAATTGACTAGTGAGATGAAAGCAGTATCATTCCATGTGAAACTAATTATAATACTTCCAAGTAGCTGAAATTTGCATATGAAGATGTTGATTTCAAAGTTGATAGCTCGTAAAAGATGTATTGCTTTCTAATCACTATTGTACATCAAAGGATAATAATGATTATTATATATTTATATCAATTATCCATATTTACAAGATATAGTGTCAAGTACTTTTTTCAGATGAATAAAATTTACGATAATTTTAAATCACAATCGTTAGCACAGAGTACAGGAACAATGCCAAAAAGTATTGTTGAACGTTGATTAATTAAATAGGGGGAGCCTATATTTCTATAATCTTGGGCTGCTTTCATACAAAATGAAAGCATATGACGGAATGAAATGATTCGTCTTTCAGCCAATAAAAGATCAGCATTTGTATGAATTGAACACCTACTGTAAACATTGATAAATGGACTTATTTTTTTTGCAGTTTACATTAACATACAGTCTTAGATTCAAGTTATTTAGACATCAATTACTTTGTCAAACCATTACGGAAATAAACGAAACTTAACCAGCAGCCTCTTCATGTTCAAAATACAGTATCCAGAGCAAAGTTACATTGTTTTTTTTTTTTCATTTTTCCATATTTTACACAGATTAAGGGACTTTTTATGCAGTTCACATTTACATACAGTCTTGAGTTAAATTTTTTCACACATCAATTGCTTTGTTAAATCTTCATGATCTAGAAATAGCATCTAAAGAAAAAAGTTTTATTTTTTCTACTTTTCTTATAAACGAGTTAGTTTTTGGCAGTCAACATTGTACTGTTACACTGACAGAAGCTAAGGTAAAGTTGAAGGGAAATTAAATATTTGAAAAACTTAATATTTACTCTAGTTTAAAAATATCTGAAAGCATTTTTCTTTGAAATTTAAAAGGAAGTGATTTTTTATAATAATTTTTTTTTTGTTGTAGGCCAGAAAGTTATACCAGAGAGCCGTCCAAGTTCTGCCTTACTGTGTCACCCTGTGGAAAGATGTAAAAACTTTTTCATTTCTTTATAAATTAAAAATGTTTAATTACTGGGGATTTTTTTATAACTTTTTTATCATTTTATTGTTTTTGTAAAAATATTGATAAGAATTTTACTTAAAGATAATTAGATATACAATTTTATCATTAATTTCTATAAAAAAAATCTTTGAAATCAGAAAACTTATCATTCTGCATATACATAATAATAGTGATATTAACTTGAAGAGAAAAAAATCAACATAAACTCATATTGAAATCCTTTTATAGAATTATTTTATTGAATTGAATATTAACATTTGCGTTTTTTTTCTGTTTTCTGATTTCAGTATCTGATGTTTGAGGTTTCCCATGGATGTAAGGAGATTGTACCACAGATACTCTCTAGATGTCAGGAGCTGGGTCTGAGTTTGGATGAATATGTCAATTTTATTATAAAGGTCAAATAAAGGGTCTTTGTAAGCAAATTGACATTCTGGGAATTCTGATATTCTTTGAGTCCAAGATACTGCTAGATATCGTGAATTTAAAATGTGCAAATGGAAGTGTAATTTTTGTGTTTTCCAAAAATGCTGCCAAAAATTCCTCAAAAAGCACAGGTCTTTGTGCTATATGTGACGGAAACCGATGTATCATATCAAAAATTGTCAAGTCGGCAATTTGATTCAAAAAATATCTAAGTAAATGCCAAAACCAGCATTTCATCCTATGATTTCACTTGGTAAGTATTAGAATGGAGCCTTTGACATTAGTTTTAAGATTAATTATCATAACAATTATCGTGATGAAACTAAAAAGAAAAACCACCAAAAACAATTTAAAGTCTTTGTTAAAGGCTTCATTTAACTGGAGTGTATTTTGTATGTTGTTTTTCATCTTTTTGTTTTTCTCTACTTAATTTATTTTTATTTGTTGTTGTGCATTATGTTGCTACTTAGGGGAGATTAAAACACTCCCAAAGCTTTGCTAAAGACAGGATGTGGAATTAGTGAACAGAACTCTCCAAGATGGAAGAAGAATTAGTGTAGTGATGAACCATCCAAACCATTAGGGCAAATTGTGCATTATCTCGAAAAAGGATTTGCCATTAGTTCTCAATTATGAAGATAATCCTTTTAGATGCAACTGTGATTAACGAACACTTTTGAAATGATGATAATGAAATGTTGCTCTCATCGTTAGGAATAAAATGGTGGCAGATAGGATATATGACATCCTTCCTATACCTATATGCATGCTCAACCTTTGACACCATTGTCAATTTCATATTGTTCATCATGGTTGTATTAGATATCGTTAAAAAAATCCTATTTCACTTGAACAGAGAATCCATATTTCTTCCTTTAAAAAAGAGAAAGGATAACTTATGGTCAACCATGCCATACTCTTGCTGTTAACAACAACCAGTGAAACAAATATGACTGATTGACAAGTTATCAAAAAAAAATTTTTGGTGACTTGAATTTCAAGTCTTTATAGAATTTTGAAGCATTGATTTAGAGATGGAGAGAGTGGTGTGTTGAAAAAATGAAAAATTTTAATGAAATTTCAGTTATTTCAAATTTATTTTCATATCCATTCTACTTGGATTTTCTGTTCTGTGGATTTCATGCACCATATATTTTATATCATGTCTTGAAATTTGCAATAATCAAGTCCCAGACGACTTTTATACATGTGATAACAAATATTTTGCAATTTTTTTGTTTTTTTTTTTGTTTCATTTCATACCATGTAATCTTTTATGCATATTGTTACTTCTTTGTTTGTTAAAATTTCTTATTAAATAATCAAATTGAATTCTTACATTGTCATAGTTTTCTTTTATATTTTCATTTTAAAAAAAATATGTCTTTAAGGGATCCATACTGTTGATTCATTATTATTTGTTTCAAATTGTTGGGACCAATTCTTATGGTATCTGAGGTCAAAAGGTGGACAAATTTTCAACAAAATTCATAGTAACTACTGGTATAGTCTGGCATGAAGAATTTTCAATACCACAAAATGAAAATTGTCTCTCAATCCAGGAATACTGGTGCCTATAAATATAAAAGAACCTCAAGTATATGAAATGCCCATTATTGCATACAGATGAAAATAAATGTCCATTCAGTAATCTTTCTACATATTCAGGGTGAGAACATGTCTCTTTGATATCAATTTAATTGAGATACAGATTCCGTGTCCACTCTTCGCTAACAAGGATCAGACTAAGCTCTGTTTTACCTTTTGTGCTGGATCTTTTCCTTTGGATTTGTCGTAATAATACATACAATTTGAAAGCAGAAATTTCATTGGCTGATGTAATGAATCTCTGAACCGAAAGTACTGTTGTCAAATCCTTGTCAATGAAGCATGTCCCCTGTTTTTTTAAAATTTTTTTTTTTATAAATGTTGAGAAATTAAGGACTCAGAATCACAAAATGTCTGAATTGACGACAAGGCTGGTTGCAAAACAAGCTAATAACAGATATTAACCTATTAGTCCTGTATTATAAGGAATCTTTGTATACCAACATCAATTCAAATGTTGTTTTTCCAAAAAACAAAAAAATGGTTGGCCGTTGTTTTTTTCTTGTAAATTGTTCTATTTTGTCTTTTATAGCTTACTATACAGTAAGCGTTTTGCTCAATGTTGAAGGACGTACCATGACCTTGTCTTGTCCCTGTCCTTTTCATCTTACCACGTACTCTTACTGAGGTTAATTCCTTATAAAAAAAAACACAAGTATGATAGTTCAGATGGTATGAGGAAAATCAATCAAGAATTTGGTGTTGTTGACAGATATATACATATATTTGTTTTCTATGATGAGCATATTCACCACTTGTGAAAGAAATGTAGAAGATGCTAAAGGGATGTTCAAACTCATAAGTTGAAAACAAACTGACAACGCCATGGCAAAAAAAACACCGACCAAAATACAAACAACAGTCTACAATCACAATATAGAAAACTTAAGACTGAGCAACACAAATCCCACCAAAAACCAGGGGGTGATATCAAGTGCTCTGGAAGGGTAAGCAGATACTGTAGTGACTGAGTGTGATATGTAGGAGATTCTCTGCTCAGATATCTTTGTTTTTGTCAAACTTATTCTGTGTATAATTTGTTTGACTTTGTGTTCAAATCTTCCAATATCAGTTTCTGTTTCTTGGACTTGCATGATTGACTGATTGATGGCTACTTAACATCCATATTCAGGACAATAATATTAATGTGAAGTATGATCATGACCATAGCTTGTACAAGGTATATGTTGTGTTGTTCACAAAGAAACATTTCACACGCTCGGCCAGATTTTTATTAGGCCAGTTCACAAATAGATCGCACATGGAACCAAATTTTGATATGCTAGTTCACACACTGACGAATTTTTAATATGCTAGTTCACAAAATAAACTTTCACACACTTAGCCAGTTTTTTGATAAGCTAGTTCATACACTACAGAGTCAGATTTTAATATGCTAGATCACACACTAAGCCAGATTTTAATATGCTACTTCACACACTAAGCCAGATTTTAATATGCTAGTTCACACACTAAGCCAAATGTTTAATATAGCAGTTCACAAAGTAACGTTAGTTAACACTTTAATCCAGAATTTGAGTTCTAAAGATAAGAAGATGTGGTATGATTGCCAATGAGAGTTTTCCACCAGAGACCAAATGACGTAAAAGTTACTACTAGTCATTATACAGCCTTCAACAATGATGAAAACCCATTCCCCATAGCAAGCTAAAAATGTTCCGACATGGAAAATTCAAAACAAACTAACAGTCTGATTTCTGTACAAAACAACAAACAAAAAAGAAAATATAAATATACAGCAATACAGGACAATGTCTGGATTGCAGTCTCCAGGTTGACAGTCACAAGTATAAAGAATGTCAAGGGGATAAATATGTTTGCCTAACCATGGACAGTTGTGTAACAACACAACATAAAAACAAACTACAAAAATCAGTTGAAAAAGACTTGTCACGTCAGATCAACACAAAGCACCCACAAAAAGACCGATCTGGGAGTACAGCTACAAAACGACGTACACAGCCAAGAATAGTTAATAAAAAATGATGTTTAAAAATTCAATCAGTACATATCCAATGGATTTAGCATAAAGACGTCATACACAGTCAGAGAAAAACGTGATCTTGTGCAATGCCAAAATAAATTATCGACATAATGTATAACCATAAATACACTAGTTCAAAAAGATCACATACAAAGCCAGATTTTTAATTTGCTAGTTCACCAAGTTACAAAGATACCACCCCTACACGAGAACATTAATGTGACACCAAGTCAATCAGGCTTTCTATGATTGCTTTTAAAAAAAAAAACTAATTTAACAGAGTACAGTTTGACCAATTTTTTTTATCAAACTTAAAACCTTCAACACTCGAGTCAAGTATTTTACCTAACTGCCACTGAGACAAAACAGCATGTTACCTACCACAAGGCCACTGAGACAAAACAGCATGTTACTTATCACAAGGCCACTGAGACAAAACAACATGTTACCTATCACAAAGCCACTGAGACAAAACAGCATGTTACCTATCACAAAGCCACTGAGACAAAACAGCATGTTACCTACCACAAGGCCACTGAGACAAAACAGCATGTTACCTATCACAAGGCCACTGAGACAAAACAGCATGTTACCTATCACAAGGCCACTGAGACAAAACAGCATGTTACCTATCACAAAGCCACTGAGACAAAACAGCATGTTACCTACCACAAGGCCACTGAGACAAAACAGCATGTTACCTATCACAAGGCCACTGAGACAAAACAGCATGTTACCTATCACAAAGCCACTGAGACAAAACAGCATGTTACCTACCACAAGGCCACTGAGACAAAACAGCATGTTACCTATCACAAAGCCACTGAGACAAAACAGCATGTTACCTACCACAAGGCCACTGAGACAAAACAGCATGTTACCTATCACAAGGCCACTGAGACAAAACAGCATGTTACCTATCACAAAGCCACTGAGACAAAACAGCATGTTACCTATCACAAGGCCACTGAGATAAAACAGCATGTTACCTATCACAAGGCCACTGAGACAAAACAGCATGGTACCTATCACAAGGCCACTGAGACAAAACAGCATGGTACCTACCACAAGGCCACTGAGACAAAACAGCATGTTATCTACCACAAGGCCACTGAGACAAAACAGCATGTTACCTACCACAAGGCCACTGAGACAAAACAGCATGTTATCGACCACAAGGCCACTGAGACAAAACAGCATGTTATCTACCACAAGGCCACTGAGGCAAGCATTTGACCTATTGCAAGGTTATTGACACAAGCATGGTACCTACTACAAGGTCACTGAGGCAATCATTTGACCTATTGCAAGGTTATTGAGGCAAGCATGTTACCTACTACATGGTCACTGAGGCAAGCATTTGACCTATTGCAGGTTATTGAGGCAAGCATGTTACCTACCACAATGTCACTGAAGCAAGCATGTTACCTATCACAAGGTCACTGAAGCAAGAATTTGACCTATTGCAAGATCACTGATGCAAGCATGTTACCTACCAAAAGGCCACTGAGGCAAACATGTTGCCTGTCACAAGGCCACTGAGGCAAGCATATTACCAATGTTACCTCACCACTGAGACAAACATGTTGCCTGTCACAAGGCATCTGAGGCAATCATGTTACCTACTACAAGGCCACTGAGGCAAGCATGTTACATACTATAAGGCCACTGAGGCAAGCATGTTACATACTATAAGGCCACCGAGACAAGCATGTTACCTGCTACAAGGCCACTGAGGCAAGCATGTTACCTACTACAAGACCACTGAGACAAACATGTTGCCTATCACAAGGCATCTGAGGCAATCATGTTACCCACTACAAGGCAACTCAGTGAGACAATTGAAGCATGTAATATATTACAAGATCACTGAGGCAAGCATGTTACCTACTACAAGGCCACCGAGACAAGCTTGTTACCTACTACAGGGTCACTGAGGCAAGCATGTTACATACTACAAGGTCACTGAGGCAAGCATGTTGCATACTTCAAGGCCACTGAGGCAAGTATATTACCCACTACAGGGCCACTGAGGCAAGCATGTTAGCTACTACAAGGCCACTGAGGCAAGCATATTACATACTTCAAGATCACTGAGGCAAGCATATTACCCACTACAGGGCCACTGAGGCAAGCATTTTACATACTACAAGGTCACTGAGGCAAGCATATTACATACTACAAAACCACTGAGGCAAGCATATTACCCACTACAGAGCCACTGAGGCAAGCATGTTACCTACTACAAGACCACTAAGGCAAGCATGTTACACACCACAGAGCCACTGGGGCCGAGTTCCTAGACATTCACGAGAGAAGAATATATTTTGAAGAAATGCCTTTGCTATAATAGTAAGAGTCGTGAACTTTGAATTAGAACCATATCATCATTTTTGCTTGAGACCATAAGTTCTCAATACTGAAATGAGAGCCAGTTGTGAATTCAGGACATAAAAAAGGGGGCCCACAAAGACAATATTAGGAGTAGGACTTGTAAAAAGTCTATACATAAGCCATGTATGTAGCTACATAAGGGCTTCACTCTTTATCCCTTTTTTCAACAAACTAAAGAAAATTGAAAGATCGAGTGCCAGTCTACATGATTCATAAAAATAAATATCGTATGAAAATGAAACGGTGACGAGTCATAAAACTATGCAAATATAATTAACAAAATATAAAAACGTAATAACAACTTTTGTTTAGAGATGGAACATAA